TTGCCTCAAGTCCCTCCCCACTTATCATAGGGTTGCACAAAAAGGTAAGTTCTCAATTGACACTAATTTAATGGAATTGAAGTAGGAATTGAAATTATATAGCAGAAAATATTTGGCTCAGGGATTAGGAAGGACTTCTAGCCCTCAACAAATCAAACTTGCCTTCTTCGTAGACTGTTCAATCTAATTCAATCCAGCAGATGATTTCTAGGCATCTACCCATATTCCTTGGCACTAGAGATGTAAAGATTTTTTTAAAATGCCCTGATCCAGGACACATGATACTGGTGCAGATAACTATGAAAAAAAAATGGAATGATATGGTGCTTAAGAGAGACACAAAGAGAGATACAAAGACCTGAGTGAGGTCTGAAGAAAGACAAATAATTTCTAGCTCCTTCCTAGAGGAAGGAGCATTTGAGCTGAACCTTGAAGGATGAGCTGTTCTTCCAAGAGGCAGGGGAATGATGACCTTTGGAGACCCCTGTCTGCTCTCCTCTTCTTAGTAACAGACATGACCTTTTCTTTTTTCCTTGAGGTAATCAGGATTAAGTGACTTGCCCAGGGTTACAAAGTTAGTAAGTGTTTGAGGCCGAATTTGAATTCAGGTCCTCCTAACTCCAGGGCTGGTGCCCTATCCACTGTACTACCTCGCTGACCCGACATGCCCTTTTCTAGTAGCAGACTAAATGTTTTTTTAAGTCCGCAGTGCCCTGATGGAGGAAAGCTCTATGCTGTAGTAGGGTGAAAGAAACAGGTAATGTCTCCTGTACATTCAGATCTCAGGTATAAAAACCAGAGTTCTGAAGTGATTTTTTTATGGTTCCTGGATTTAGAAGTGAAGAAAATGCAAACATCGACCTGAGCCAACTAAGGGCTTCATTCATTCAATGGATGTTTGTTAATAAAAGTTGTTGAATGGATGGATGTGTGAACAGATGGATAGATGTATACAAGGGTGTGTTGGTAAATGTTTAACAACTAACTTTCCAAAAAATGTATGGATGACACATTTTAAAGTTTAATCTGCATTATTAACATTTTCTCTGTCACTTTCTTAAGTCTAGACAATCAATAAAACAATAAATCAAGCCCTGATCTGTAGAGCTTGTCAATTTCATAAGAGTAAATGCTCGCAGTGTATGCTGAACACTAGTATCTTATAAGCCCATTCAAGCTGGCTATAGTACGTCCCTGGATGGGTGGATGGATGGATGGATGGATGGGTGAAAGAAAAGAAGTTCTGCTTATGTGGCAGTAAAGTGTCATAATGGGGGGGGCAGCTAGGTGGCGCAGTGGATAGAGTACCGGCCCTGAAGTCAGGAGGACCTGGGTTCAAATCCGGCCTCAGACCAAACACTTGACACTTACTAGCTGTGTGACCCTGGGCAAGTCACTTAACCCCAATTGCCTAAAAGCAAATAAATAAATAAATAAAAATTAAAAAAAAATAAAGTGTCATAATGGACAAGATGCTAAGCTTGGGGTCAGAAAGACCTGAGTCCCAGTTCTGCCTGGGACACTAGCTGTATAACCCTGAGCAAGTCACCTTAACTTCTTAGCCTCATTTTCCACATTGGTAAAATGGGGATTTTACAAACTACCTCATAAGGCTGTTATGAGGATCAAATGAGCTAATATAAGTAAAGTGCTTCCCAAACTTTACGGAGCTATATAATTGTTAGCTATTATGATGATAATGATTATCTGTGCAGCCAGGGATATCAAGTAATGGACATCTCTAAAACTCTGCCTGCATCCTTGGGCCATCAGGTGGCTACCGCTTAGCAATAGGCAATCTCCAGGCAAGTGGGGAGCAGATGGGATTCCACATGGAGCCACTTCAATGGCAATAAACTGGGCAGTGTATAGTCATAGTATCAAGGGCTGAAAGAGATCTTAGAAAGTATCTAGTTCAACCTTCTAGGTTTTACAAATGAGGAAACAGGTCCTGGAGGGGAAGGGACTTGCCGAATGTCACAGAAGAAATAAACAGCATAACTGAGATTCACATCCAGGCCCTCTAACTTCAAATCTAATGTTCTTCCCATTATCCCACACTGCTTTCAACACTTAGCTAACACAAGTCACATTTCACCTAGAAGACAGCTAGGAGACCTGAATTCAGATTCAACCTCAGACACATACTAGCTGTGTGACCCTGTGCAAGTCACTTAACTTCTTCTGTCTCAGTTTACTGAACTATAAAATGGAGATCATAATAGCACCTAACTCACAGGGTTGTGGTGTGGATTAAATGAGATAAGATTTATAAAGTGCTTAGCATAGTGCTTGGTACCATTTCCTTCCTTCCTCAGGAAGATGTCCTTAACCAGAATAGTCCTTAAGGATCCCTCCCTTCTCTCACCTCTTATAGCACCAGATGATCATTGTATTTATGATTTTTGTCCCCAAATCACAGGATTGTAGATTTAAAGTTGGAAGTGACCTTAAAGTTCATCTAGTCCAAAATCCTAATTCTACAGATGAGGAAACTGAGGCTCAAAGAAGGGAAATGACATGTCACAAAGGTAGTAATTAGCAGAGCCAGGATTTAAACTCAAGTCTTTTGGCTCCTAATCTAGATTTCTTTCTTTACTTTTTTTTAAACTATATCACTTTTTTTGCTGTCTTTTGAGGAAAGAGTAGTGAGCTGTGAATCAAGAGACCCAGGTTCTAGTTTGGACTCTGCCACCAGCTATGTGAGATCTTAATCATATGAAGAGGTCAAACTCTCTGATCAATAAAGTGCCTTCCAGGTCTGATATTCTAGGACTCAGAAATGGTGTACTCAGAGAGTCACCCACAGCCCCAGAACCGGCTCTGATCCTACTTTTTTCCCTTTGGGAACCTGTGCAGAGTTGCAATAATGTTGTGGTAAGGAAATTAGGACTCTCTGGGTTAGGGGAGCCCCTCTTGGGTGGTGTAAGACTCAGTATGACTCCCAATTCCTATCCCCCTGCAGGAGTTCCTGGTGTCTTGAGGATGGGATGGAGGTAACCGGGTATACAAGTCTCTCAAAGGAGACAGTGCCAAGATTTTAGGACTGTCCAGAGTCTTAGAAGAAGCCAACTGAAAGAGACCTTAATGGCTCCTTTTGAGATACGAGTACAGGCTGGTGGAGAGAATGACAGATGGGGCAGAGAAAGGGCCAGTGGAGAGACAGGCAGAGACATAGACTTGATTCAATTATCATCTATATATAGACACCCAGATCTATATATGCAGCCCTAATCACTTTCCTGAACTGCAGGCCAGCATTGCCAACTGCCTGATGGACAATTCTGTCTGGACATCCCATCAGAAGCTCAAATGCAATATACCCCAAACCAGAACTAATGATATTCCTCCCTAAACTAACCCTTCCTCCAAAAATTCCTATTCTGGAGAGGGCACCACCACTCTTCCAGTCACCTAGGTTGGAAAGCTCTGCGTCATTCCTAACTCTTCCCTCTCCCCAAAATAGTCAATTGGTTGCCAAGACTTGTTGATTCTGCCTTCACCACATTAGTTGAATCTGTCTTCTTGCCGCTCAGGTGGTCACTACCCTAGTTCAGGCACCTATGGGCCCTTGTCTAGACTATTGTGTTGTCTTCCTAATGGTTTCCCTGCCTCCAAGCTCTTCCCTCCAATCTGTCTTCCAGTCATACAGTCAATAAACATTTACTAATCACCTGCTAAGTGCCAGGCACTGTGCTAAGTGCTAGGGATACAAAAAAAAGGGGTAAAATATAATATAGTCCCTGCCCTCAAGAAGTTTACAGTATAATGGCCTAGCTCCATACAGATGTCAAAATAATCTTCTAAAGTATGTTGGACCTTTGCACCCTCCTCAAAAACTTTCAGTGGCTCCCCATTGCATTGAATAAAATATAAAGTGCTCAGCTTGGCATTTAAGGCCCTCCATGACCTGGCTGCCATTTAAATCTCCAGCCATATTTCATTCTATTCCTCTTCACCAACGCCCAACTCCACACCTCCTAACAGGCTTTCTCCCATGCCTCCCTCCTCAATTCTGCCTCTTCAAATCCTTCACTTTCTTCAAGGCTTGGCTCACATGTCACCTCCTGGAAATCTTTCTGGATTCCCCTGATTAACGCTTTGTTTCCCCTCCTCAGCTTATTTTATATTTACTTGTATGTGTGCATCATGTATACCCACCCCTTAGAATTGATCTGTGGAGGCAAGTCCTGTGTTTCATTTTTGTCCGGTATCCCCAGCACCTAGCAGAGTACTTTAATGCCTTGTGCATAGCAGAGAATTGGCAAGTATTTGTAGAATTGAATTGAAACTGATGGACAGAGGAAGACGGCAGAGAGGCTGAGGCTGATGAAGAAAAAGGCCAAGGTGGAGACAGAGACCATCAGAAGGTGATAGAAAGAGAACAATAGGCCAAGACCAGTGGGGAGGCAGATGCAGCGATGAAACAGCAATAGGCAGACTGACAGTAATAGACAGACAGACAAAGAGCAAATTGTAGAGGCAGAAACAAAGATTGATAGGGAGGCAAAATCTAATGAGAGAGACAGCAAGGACTGATCAAAATGCAGAAAGAAACAGCTTCTGAGACAGACAACTGGGTGTAGTTCTTGGGGATAGCAGTGTGAGCAACAGAAGTTCCAAGAAGCTATTGGTGAACCAGAAAAACTTTTTTATTAGTGGCCTAACAAGGTCAGGTGTCCCATGTGTGGGCACACCTTACAGAAGGGAGAGCAAAGCTTTTTATTCCTAGGCCTGAATCGCAGTTCCCTCCCTGTTTCCCCATTGGCTGGGTAATGCAGGGTTTACAGCCTATCCGAGTGTCTAATTTCCCCACATGAGTCTCTGCCCCTAATTACATCTCCCACTCCCCACATTTCCTTGTCAACAGCCTGCAGCTGTCAATACCCCAGCAGCTACTCATTACCCTGAGGAGTGATGTGCAGAAGCAATATTCCCAACCACATTTCCTACACAGGTCTCTAAGAGACCCTTCTGAAACCTGTTCTTTCCTCTTCCAGTCTTACCTATGGAGGTGTGTGCCTCGCATCTGACGCTCAGTTCAGTGACTTCCTGGGCAGCATGGGGCCTGCACAATTTGTGGGACGTCAGACTTTAGCCACCACATCCATGGGTGAGTGACCTTCAGACCCCAAGGAGACCCATGGGACGCCAGCCCAAGTGCCCTAAGCTCCCTCTTCCATCACCGAGTCTAGATGGTGCAGCTCCCAGGGCCTGAAACTGAATTCCTTAGCCCCCCTCAGCCTTCACTCAGTACCACTGGGAGCAATTGCCTTGTCTTCCCCAAAGTACTCCCACTAGAAGTTCTGAACTAAGGTAAAGTATGGACCTGTCTTACCCTCTGCAGGCCCTTGGTCTAGGTCTAGGACAGTGATGGCATTGTCCTCAGGGACACCCACCTGAACAGTGAGGCCTGTCCTTGGCCAAGGGAGCTCCTAAATCTATCTTTTTTTTCTGCTTTGGGGGCCTCGTAGGAGACGTGGAGATCGGGTTACAGGAGAGGAATGGACAGCTTGAAGTGGACATCATCCAAGCCCGAGGTCTAACAGCCAAGCCAGGCTCCAAGACCTTGCCAGGTAACCAGGGGGTTCATGAGAATTACTGAACCTCTCACTTGGGACCCACTAAGACTTGGTATAGGCCCTGACCAGTCTATCCTTGATTTTTTTAGATTCTAACCACCACACAGTCAAGATGTAGGTCCTTATCTCCCTGGCATGTTAGTGTCACATCCCCAGCCCAGGCCTGACCTTGACCACAACCCTGCCTTAACCATATTTCTAGTTCTTGTATCCAAACTTGAATGTCCTGAGAAAGGTAGGAGAGGAGGATAGGAAGTCCTGGTCCCTGCTTGGACACAGGGCTGTCCCAAACAAAAGCCGAAGCTGCTCATCAGCATCTTCCTCCAAGGGACGATCCCATCAAGGTCCCCCCTCCCTCCCAGCTCATTCCTCCCATTTTCCCCAGCATCACCTAAACTGTGCTTTGAATATACTTAGCTGGTGAGAGCAAAGAATGATGGGAAACCCTAGGAGCAGAGAGGAAGAGCAGTGGAGAGAACAGTGAGGAGGTATACAGGATGACTGGCTCTCATACCCTGCCCAGACATGAGGCTACCCAAGGCCATTTTCTCTGTCTTCTTACCACCCACCCTTAGGCAGACTCACACCTAGGATCATGGGATTTAGAGCTCAAAAGTACCTTAGGACATAGTATGTTAGAGCTACAAAAGAGCTTAGAAACTAATTTGTCAATACTCATCCCCGACCCCCATTTTTATATAGGAGAAAACTGAGGCCAGGGAGTATAAAAGGACTTTTACAAGGTTGTGTGAATAAGATGTAGGGAGCTGAGCCCTTATCCTCCCTTAGAACCCATCCCTGGTGGACACCTCCTCAATCCAAGATGTACAATGAGGCCTTGGCAGCCTACTTCTCAGGGCCTTCCCCCAGCCAGTGAGAGCCAGGAAACAACCCAATAAGACATTCCTGCCCTCCTGCTCTTTTCCAGCGGCCTACATCAAGGCCTACCTGCTGGAAAATGGTGTGTGCATTGCCAAGAAGAAGACCAAAGTAGCTCGGAAGTCTCTGGATCCCCTGTACAACCAGGTGCTCCTGTTCCCTGAGAGTCCTCAGGGCAAAGTATTGCAGGTGAGGATGGCTGAAGGCTGGGGGCTCAGCTTTTGTAGGATAAGGACCTGGTCTTGGATTAGGGGAGGGGTGGAGAATCTGGACTTAGGGGACATTGAGTCATGGCCTTTGGGGAAGGGGTATCTGGCCTGTGGAAGAACTGGGGACCTGGATTTTGTGGGCAGATGAGAACCTGGCACTTGGTATTTGGGGTAAGATGAGAACCTGGACTATGGGAGAAGTAGGTACCTGGTCTTTGAATGAATGGGAATTGAGCCTATATGAGGATTGGGGGCCTGGTCTTTGGAGGATGAGGACCCGGCCCTTGGTGGGATGGGGACCTGATCTTTGGTGGCATGGGGCAGGCAGGGGAGGTGGGGGAGAGGGAGAATCTGGGCTTTGGGGAAGATTGGACTCTGGTCTGTGGAGGGATGGGAAGATGACCCAGCTGGAAGAACTAAGGCTCTGGTCTTTGAGATATCAGGGCCTAAGGGGACTTAACAAAATGCTTAAATTGTGAAAGAATCTAGGAAAAATGAAATCCCTGGATCTAGGTGGGAATAATACAGAAAAATTTCATAGAGGAGGTGGAATCTCAGCCTTGTAGAGGAATACAAGGAAAACAAGGCTCTAGTCTCCCTGGCCCCCATTATACAACAAGGTGACCATTTTCCTCCCACTCTGGCATCATCCCGAGCCTGAGGCCATTGCTTATACTAAAAAAGCAGCTGACATTTCTGGGGCTCTTTCGAGGGTTACAGAGTGCTTTACATGAATGACCTTTGGTCACTACCACAGCCCTGGGAGGAGGTACCAAAGATACTATTGGTCCCACTTTAATGATGAGGAAAATGAGGTTCTGAGAGGTTAAGTAAGGCCAGCCTGTGGTCATACAGCGACCCAGGGTAGAGCTTTGATCCCAGTTTCTGTCCTGACTCCAGGTCTTTCCACTATACCACTGTTTATGATTGTTAACAAGGATGACTTATAGTGGCCAGCAACAACAAACATTTATTAAGTGACTGCTGTGTGCCAAGTCCTATGCTTAGCGCTAGAAGAAATATATAATTTACATGATAGACAGCCCCTGCCCTCAAGTTTACCATGGCTGAAAGTTTAGATTTGTGGGGGATTTTCCACAGCATTCCAAGTCCTGGGCTAAAGTTGGCAGGAATCTAGAGTTACATGGAAGAGGACAACTTGAGGTATAGTAGGGTAGTGCCAGGAAGGCCATTAATGCCAGGCAGAAGAGTCTAAATTTGACTCAGTGCAGTTGATTGAGAAAGCTGGAAATGCTCAGACACCTAGCCTCAAAGGGGAGTCCATGACAGAGAGAAAAAGGGCTGCCCAGGCTCCTGGGAAGGGCTTCTTCCACCACTGCCTAGACCAAGCGTTGGCAAACTACAACCATTCTACCAAAATTGGAAGTGAGCTGGATTTGGCCCATGGGCCATAGTTGATCAAAGCCAGGCCTGGGAAGTCTCAAATGGTCAGAGGCCCTCTAGTCCAGCTAGAACATAACCCAGGATGCCCTGATTGACATGCTTGATAAGTGGTCATCCAGCCTTAGCCTGCAGACTTCCCCGTGGGAGAGGGAAGCCACCGCCTCCTGATCCAGCCAGAACTACTCTGAGATGGCTCTGATTGTTAGGAAGCTCTAACCTGCCTCACACCTAAGTTCTCCTCTTTGTTGCTGACCATTGTTCTCGGTTCTGTCCCTTGAAGCCCAGTAGAACAGTTTCATCCCCCCCTTCTATGCAACAGTCCTCCAAATAACTTGTCAGCTCCCGAAGCCTCTTTTCCAGGCTACACGTCCCCAATTCCTTCAACTCATCCTCAAAGACATTCGCACTCAAGGTCTTCTACCATTTTGTTCACCCTCCTCTGGCTGCTCTCCAACCAATCAACATCTATCCTAAAATGGAGTATTCAGAATGGGTGAACAATACTATATGTGGCATCTGACCAGGGCAAAACACAGCAAGGACCTCCCTTGTCCTGGACACTATACTTCTCTTAATGATGACTGAGAGTAAATTAGCGTTCTGGGCCTCTTGACACATCTTAAGCTTGCAGTCCACTAAGACCATCAAATCTTTTACAGACAAACTATTGTCTAGCTGTACCTCCTCAGTCTTGTACTTATAACATTGATTTTTAATAACAGTAACAATAGCTCACATTTATATAGCACTTCAAGGTTTGAAAAACACTTTATAAATAATAACTAATTTTATCCTCAAAAAAACCCTGGGAGAGGTGTGCTATTATCCCCATTTTACAGATGAGTAAACTGAGGCAGGCAGAGATTAAGCAACGTGCTCAGGGTCACACAGCTAGTAAATGTCTGAGGTAGGATTTGAACTCAGGTTTTCCTAACTCCGCATCCAGTGTTCTATTCACTGCACCACCCAACTAATTCACATTTTAAATTCAAAGGTAGTACTATAGTCACCCATGTTATATTTCATCTTATTAACTTCTATCTATTGTTCAGTCAATAGAGTTTTTTTGAGGGGGAAAAAACTATGTCACTGAATTTATTAGCTCCTCCTCCTAGCTATAAGTCATCTACAAAATGCTTTAGCCAGCTGTTGAGAGCTGATTGTTAAATTTTCAGTGTGAACGTTTACACCTCAGAAATTGGTAAATGCTATAAATCAGGGTTTGATTTATTGTTTTGTTGGCTGTTTAGACTTAAGAAAGTGATGGAGAAAATGTTAATAATGCAAATTAAACTTAAAAGTGTGTCATACATTTATCTCCCCCCCCTCCAGAGAGCTAGTTGTTAAACATTTACCAGCATACCTTGCATCTGTAACTTTTTTATTAATAAAAATATTAAACAGCAGAGAGCCAAGCACAGACCCCTGTAGCACTTATCTGGAAACCACCTTCCTAGTTGTCATTGAACCATCAATGACCACTCCTCAATTCCTGCCATTCAGTCAGTTCTGAATCTGCTGAACTAGGCCACATCTTGTCTGCAAGAATAGCTCAAGTCTTTGCCAAATGCTTTGCTAAAACCTAGGTCAACTATGTCTACAGCATTCCCCCCACTCCAACAGTCTAGTAACCTGTTAAAAAAATGAGGTTAGTTTGACAGGACTCATCCTTGAAGTCATGCTGTTTTTTAGTGATCATGGCTTCCCTTTCTAGACATTTACTAATCACGCCTTTAATAATACATTCTAAAATATTGTCAGGAATCAAAGTCACTAGTCTATACTTTGCAAGTTCTTTTCTTTTGCCATTTTTGGGGAAAATTTTGGGACTTTGCCCTTTTCCAATCCTGAAGCATCTCCCCAGTTCTCCATAAACTTTCAAAGTTCACTGAATGACTCAGTAATTGACTGTACCTGGTCTTTCAGTACTCAGCTAGGTTGGTGACTTGAACTTGTCAGGAGAAACAAGGTGCACTCCTTCCTGTCTCCTGACTTATCTGAGGTATCACCTCCCCATTAATCACATTTTTCTGTCCTTTCCTGTCTAAAGGTCACTGTCTTTAGCAAAGAAACCAGAAGCCAATTCTCTCAATCATTCTCTCAATCATCCCTAGTCATCATTTCATCCTTCCTGTTCAGTGATCCTATCTTTTTTTGTAGAATCATATCAAAGAAATCCTCTTTCTCTCCAGTATTTAAAAAAACCCCACTCTTTGGATAAGCCTTACTTTTTTTTTTTACCTGCTTCAGTTAATTCTGTGTTTTAGATTAGACATTTTTTTACAGGACTTCTTCACACTTTTGTATTTGCCCTCTATTTACCTACCCTAGCTTCCATTTTCTCTTAATGTTCTTTAAAAATCGAAGTCAGTTGCTGATCTATGCATTAAAATGAGTCTCTTTAGATGACTGCCTTTTTTATCCTCATCAGAATTATTTTTCTTTGTGTCTTGTACATTCTGTTCTTAAGAGCTTCCCAGCCCTTTTGGGCTGACATCTCCAGTAGATTGTTAGGCTAATTTTTAGACTTCTCAATAGCCTGTCATGGAGTTCCCAAGATACAGCAGGAAATCTGTCCCCAAACTATTTGAGTTAGCATTCAAGGTCAGCAGCTAAGCCTGATATCTAGCTTCAATACTCATTCCCTTGGCCATCCCCACCCCCTAATCCATTTCCATATTTCTCTGACCATCCTCCATCTGCTTAGGAAACAACAATGGTTAAGATATCCAGAATGCTTTACATATGGGTAGTGGATAGAGAGCTGATCTTGAAACCAGGAAGATCTGGGTACAAATCTTGCCCTTGATATATACTGGCTATGTGAGCCCACGGGAAAGTCATTGAACCTCTCAGTCTGTGCTCTACCATAATTCTTTAAGGCTGTAAATGGCAGAGAAAATACTGAGTTGCATAAGTAGTGAGAATTTCTTCACTACCAGAGTGTCCTATGCCAATGAAATCACAGGGCCAGTCCCTATCTCTGTTTTACATGTGTGAATGGCTTTTTGGGGGCAACTGGGTGTCACAGAAGATAGAGAACTGGGTCTGGAGTCTGGAAGACTTGAGTTCAAATCCGGCCTCAGACACTTACTTGCTATATGACCCTGGGAAAGTTATTTAACTTTTGTTTGCCTTTTAAATTTTACTCTCTTCTCACAAAAACTTGTGGTGTTGGTAAAAAAAACCAAACAAATCAGTATGTAATCGTCCTCATTTTACAGATTAAGAAACAGAGACCTCCCCCCAAGAAACTGAATAATTTATTTAATGCCACACAGCCAAGCTTAAGTTTCCTTATATTGGAAAGAGCGCTGAAAGAGTTCCAATCTCAACTCCAAAACAAATTTACTGGATTACTTTGGCAAAGTCACATCCCCAGTCTAGAGATGCAATATCTTCATTTGCAAAATGAGAGAATTAGATTTGATGATCTCTGAGGTTCCTTCCTCTTCTAAGCTATTTTCCAGCTTTGACGGTCTGGTCTGTCCACCTCTGACAATTCTATATCTCTGATTTCTAGAGCTGAGGCTGTCAGATGCGCTGGCCCCTGCTCTAGCCATTGGACCTCATGAACTCTGCGCCCCCTTGTGGCAGGATGACACTAGTCCTGAAACTCTTTGGGCTTTCTGTTAACGAATGTGATGCCTCCAAAGAAAAAAGATTCCTGGGCTATGGTGGGAAGGCCATTGGTGACCCTCAGCAGAGGGGATGCACTTCTGTGGCCAATAGCCTCAGAGGCAAGAATTTAATTATGACATATGAAAGGAAAAGAAATAGAGGATTGAGGAGTGGAGCAGTCTTGGGTGGAGTAAAGGACAGATCTGGATTCTGTTCTTACTAGCTCTGTGACCTGGAGCAACTCTCTTCCCTTCTCTGAACCTCAGTTTTTTCGTCTGTAGAAATGGATCAGGGCAGTAGATGGCACAGTGAATAGAGCTCCAGCCTTCGAGTCAGGAAGACCTGAGTTCAAATCCAGCCTCAGACACTGGACACTTACTAGCTGTGTGCCCTTGGGCAAGTCACTTAACCCCAACTGCCTTACCAAAAAAAAAAACAGTGGATCACTTGAGGTCTCAGTGCCTTAGACAATTCTCTAAGACTATAAATTATAGAAGAGCTTCAGATCCATATGGGTAGAGGGAATTTCCTTAATGAAATTATTGATCCAGTCCCCTCCTCCCTCAAAAAAAAAAGGGTATCATAGATTTAGAGCTGGGTACCTTACAGGTCATCTCATCAACCCTCTCCTTTTACCGATGAGGAAGCTGAGGCCCAGAGAAGGTACTTAGTTTGCTTAAGGTCACATAAGTAGTAGAACAAGTCACAGTTAAGCCTGAAACCAGGTGCCTTGACTCCAAATCCAGCCCTGCCTACTGGACCACACTGCCTTACTTCTCCTCTGTGATAATACTTGAGCTACTGACTACCTCCGAGAGCTGTTTTGAGTAAAGCATTTTGAAGACCTGAAAGTGCTGTGGAAATACAGCCCTTTGAGCTCAACAGGACAAGGATTTTATCCACGTTTTACATATAAGGAAACCCAGACTTGGAAACACTGATTGACTAGAAGCTATTATTCCCCTTTTACAGTTAAAAAAGTGGAGGCTGAAGGAGAGCAAGCAACCTACCCAGTATCATGTATCCACTTGTGGCTGAGCCAGGACTCAGAGCTCAAGTCTTTTAACTGTCAGCCTAATGATAACTAAAACAGCTCACATTTCTATATCCAGACCTAAAATCTCAGAATATACAATGTCAGGACTAGGAGACACCTTACAGTTTATAAAGCACTTTTCTCATAAAAAAATCTTGAGAGAGGTCATTCAAATATTAGACCCATTTTGCAGATAAGGAAACTGAAGGCCAGTAAAGTTACTTGGATTACCTGGACTCAGATTCTACTTATCCCCTGTTTGACCTTGGTCAAGTCACTGACCTCCAAGCCTCAGTTTAGTCCTCATTGGACTTGGAGTTAGAAGACATGAGTTGGAATCTTAGCTCTGCAACTCACCAGCTGTGTGATCTTAGACAAGTCATTTCACTCCATTTCTCCCTCTATCAAATGAAGGGGTTGAATGGTCCTTCGAGTCCTTTCTACCTCTTGATAGTCTGGTTCATGTGGTGGACCTCTGGTGGGGTAAACCAGGAATGTCTGGAAGGGCTGTACCTGGGGCTCATTTCTAAAGAAGCCTGGTTATGGGTTGATTCAGAGAATGATCACCCTCCGGCCATGGGGGAGAAGGGAATCCACGCTCAATTCTGCTGTATATCTGTTCTGCAGGTGATCGTGTGGGGCAATTATGGAAGGATGGAACGCAAGCACTTCATGGGCGTGGCGAGGGTGCTTCTGGAGGAGCTGGACTTGACCACCCTGGCCGTGGGTTGGTACAAGCTCTTCCCCACATCATCCATGGTGGACCCTGCCACCGGCCCGCTACTGCGCCAGTCCTCTCAGCTGTCCCTGGAGAGCACCGTGGGGCCCTGCGGGGAGCGCTCGTAGTGGCTGAACTTGGGGAGGGGTTGCCCAGGGACTGTGCCTGGATCTGGAACTCCTGGCGCTTCAGAGGGAAGCAGACAGGGCTCCCTCCCAAGGAGGAGAGACCTACTCTGTGGGCTCCTCCCCATCCCGTTTGGCCACCTTCCCCATCCTGAGGCCTTCCCTCTCCTAGAGCAATTGGCTTTACCTTTGACTCGGTCACAGGTCCCCCAAATTTGGGAGGGGGCCTATTATTCAACCTCTCCCTTTTTTGTGTCCCCCTTGGAGCTAGTTGCCTGGAGCTGTCTCCACTATCCTAGGCCAGGGGCCTGCCTTCCCCATAGTGCCGATCCACCAGCAAGTGTCTTTCTTGTGGCACTTAGCTCCAGTGGCTGTATACTCTGCCTGCGGCCAGTTTGAGAGGAGCCCGGGGAGTTTCCAAGGAGGATGGTGGAGCCAGCCATCAGTCAAGGCCATCTGCGTCCTGGAGAGGCCCCAGGACATCAAGGCAGCCTGGAGAGGCTGCCCATCAGTCGTCAGGGGCTTCACCTCCTCTTGACTAAGTACCTCCTTCTAGGCATGTGTCCTCCTCGGCTGCCACAAATTGTTTGCACAGCTCTTTGGATGTCAGGCCCGACCCATGATGACTCAGGATGCAGATGGTGCCTCTTTTCTACAAGGAAAAGATCTCTCACCTGGGAGCTAGGATGCAAGAGGAGGCAAGGGTCTCAGTCCTGACTTAGCCACTCGTTAGCTCTGTGCAACCCTAACAAATCGCCTCCCTTCTTCGGATCTGTTTCCTCCTTTAAAAATGAGGGGTTTAGACTAGATGATCTCAAAGACGTTCCATTGCAGGAATCGAGGATGCCTTTATTTAGTGCCCACATGGGGCTGCTGCCGCCTGGCCCCTCACCTCCAGATTCTGGGGATGCTTGTCTCAGCAGCTTAGAGGCAGTGGGAGGCAACTGAGACTCTAAGGGAACTCTATCTCCCCACTCTGCCCGTGGCAGTGGACGGGTAGAGCTGGGCTGAACTTGCTAGATCTCCTAAGGTCTCTCAGCCTGTGTTGCAACAAGCCTTGCCACTCCCCAAATGGAACTGAGTGGGCTAAGCCAGGATGGCAAGGAAGGCAGAATTAGGAGAAGCTAGAGGCTGAAGTGTGGCCAAGGCATTCCATGCCAGCCATGGACTCCATGCCAGGGACCTGGGACAATCTGTTAGAAGAACCCCTCTCTGTCTGATGCCCTTGGACTCCATGGGTCATCTAGTCCAGACTGTTGCCTCTGGGCAGATGGTAATCTACCCTCTTCTTTGGGGTCTCTAGGGCCAGAGAACCTCGGTTTTACTTTTTAAAAAACACACACAAAACAACATCTGAAACAGGTGAACTGAATGCAAAAGAGTCATTTTATGTGGACTCGAGGAAAGCAAATAGAATGGATGGGAGAAAAAGAGAAAGGGTCAAACTTTTGAGGGTTTCCTTCTCTCTCTCTCTCCCTTTCCCTTTTCCCTTCCTTCCCCCTATCTCCAGCTGCATGTTGGTTTGGCTCTGTGTCTTGGGCCTCCCAGCTCACTGGCCTGATCTCTGACCCTAGCCATGGGGTAATTTCAGGCAAACTGTTGCATGCTGGGTAGGAACTCTCTTTAACGAAGCACATTCCTGCCTCCTTCCGTCTCTTCCCTTCTCTCCCCAGCACCACCTCAGTGCTGAGGCTGGTCCCTCCTCACCTCCCCCATTCCCAGCATGGAGGAGTAGTCTAGAGCAGGGCTTTTCCCTAGACCTCTCCTATTTACAAAGTCCAAGGAGGGGGAACATAAAATCCATCCTAGGTGTGTGTATGCATGGAGAGTGGGGACTGATAGACCAAATGGGCCTGACAGGGAAGGATTAGACTGAATTCTCTGTTTGACCTTCTTTTTTTCTCCCTGAGGGCCCCAGAGGCAGCCGGCCTGTCTTTTCCTCCAGAACTGTGAGGGATGAAAGGGGTCTGGGAAGGTGTTGAGAAAATCCAGCTAGTTCCAAGGCCTCTGGGTGTGGCTGCTGGGGCTGGTCCCTTGGGATTTTTTTGAGGGGGGATGGGGGTTGCTCTTCGGGCTTCTTCCCCCTCTCCCACCCAGCAAAGAGGCTTTAGCTGGGGGCACAGAATTACATAGTATTCTTCATTCTTGTTGATAATCTTTTTCTGATTACACATTTACAGAGCCCTTCTGGGCCACTGGGCTGTGTTTGGGCCCTGGTGTCTGGCCGAGGACAGACCAGTGCACTCAGGACATGGGTTCCAAACCAAGTTTTTTTTTTTTGGGGGGGGTAGGGTGGAAGGTTCAAGAAATCCTTTTAAATTGGACTAGAGGGAAGTAATGGAGGCAACTCATCCTATCGAGCCTCAGTTTCCTCTTCTGTAAAATGCAGGAGTCAGACTGGATGGTCTCTAAGTTCCCTGCCACCGAATCTCAGATCTTATGGTTCTCTCTGGTCAGTCAGGTGGGAGTAGGAAGGGAAAGCCAGTCCTAGGCTAGAGGCCTTGGGAATGAGGTTTGAGTGTAAAGCCCCATTCTCTCCATACCAAAGCCAGCAAGCTGGGCTTCCCAAACCCAGTGCTCTAAGGGTTTCTGGCTTCTCCTGGTTCAGCTCTCTAACTAGATTGAGGGAGGTAAGAGAAGGGAGAGGTAAGAGAATTTTCCAGTCCTGGGCCTTTAGGGGCAGAGGTGGAAGGGGGCTGTCTAGCCTCAGGCCTTGGGGAAGGGGCTGTCAGCACTTCCTCCTGAGTAACTTCTGGGATAGGAGTGTTATTGTAGATGCCTTCATAGGAGAGAGGGGCAAGGTCAGGAGAGGGTTGGGTGCAGTAGAAATCTGAGATTCTTGTGAAAAAAAGATTTCTTTCTCATTTGTTTATTACTCACTGTTAATAGCTGATGCCCTCTCATCCTGGGCTGGAGGTGGCCCTGGGGTCTTAAAGGTTTTGCTGGATGACTGGCCCTAGCAGGTAGGGCTTCAAGGCCAGACCAAAGACCTGGGAACAGAATGCATCTGTGGTCTCAGGACTAGCCTAGCCATGGGGAGAAGTTTCAGACAACAGCAATTCTCAAAGACACAGCTGTAAAGGGAGGCTGTGTGCTGTAGTCCCTGGTGGGAGCAGAATAATCATTGACCCCTGATACATTGAAATAGCAACTATTGGAACCAGGAGACTTCTCTTGGAACCATGTGCTCCATGTACAGATTGTGGCCATTTTTTCCAAGGAAGAAAAAAGGCTCTTGGGGCTGCCAGCAGGAAAGGTGTCCTGAGGCTGCCACTGGGCCAAGCCCTTCCCTGGAGCCCCAGATGTTCTCCCACCCCCAGGCTGAGAAGGGGCAGAAGCAGAGGAGACTTTTGTGAAGGGGATTCCTAGGGGGTAGCGAGGTGGTCTCCTCGCTTTCCCCTCCAGACCTTGGTGTTGGTGAAGAGGACTTGGCCAATTTCTCCTCCCTCCTGTCTCCTACAAAGGCCAGTTTTGTGAAAGAGACTGGGTACGAAGCAATAATCCATCCAGAGGTGGGGTGGGGGCCATGGCCTCAGGACCCCCTCCTCCCGCTGCTTTTCTTGTTCCTTCTGTGAAATAACTGGCCTCCTGGCGGGGTCTTGAGTCCTTATCTCCTGTCCCCCCATTCCCACTATTAATGGTCCATTCCTGTCAGTGTGTCCTGAGTGTGTTCTGTGCTGGGGTGTATGTAGGGGTGGGGTGGGGTAGTAAACTTTTTGTTAAACTGTAGCTTTGGGAGAGACTCTGTATGAACTTGGCTCCTACTTGGGACCCAAGGTGGTTCTGGCTGCCACCCACCTGTCATGTCCTGTCTGTCTATCCTTCTGATGCTTGGCAGTAGGAAGAGACTGGTCCCCTAGGGTGGGATGAACTCTGTCCCCACAAAGCTGGGCACACTTCTCCCAGTTGTCTGGGCCAGGCCCCAAGAGGGGAATAAATAGAATGTGGCTTCTCTACATTAAAGAGAATAATACTAGTAATAATAATAATAAATAATAATAGTTGACATTTCTATAGCACTTTCTAATTTACAAAAGCGCTTTACATCCATTATCTCATCTGATCTTCATAACCCTGTGAGGTAGGTAGTGCAAGTAATATGATCCCAGTTTTACGGATGAGGAAACTGAGACTCAGAAAGACAACATGAGAAATCAGGTCATCCTACTAAGTGGTAGAGCAGAGATGACACTTTTTGAGCTTAGCAAGGAGGCCAAGTCAGAGCCCCTGGGTGTGATGGCATCTCCAGGTCTTTTTCCCCACCCCCCCTTAATCTGCAGACCTGCTGGGGCCCCCAGGAAGCCAGGCTGCGAGTTACTTGAGCTCCATCTTGTCTCCTAGGGTTGCTGATGGGTTTTCCTGAGGTGGAGACTGGGATCTCTGGCCAAAAGGAATCAGGCATGAGAATCTTCTCAGGCTAAAAAGAGAACACCAATTGGAGCTACTCATTTGGAGTGAGCTCCTATGCCCAGGAGTTACCTCCAAATGAGCCTGCAGAGGACAGGAGAAGGTACCTGCAGTTGGGTCTGGAAATATTAAACTTTCCTCACATTTGTACAGCACTTTAAACTTTTCAAAGCAATTTCCCATTTATTCTCATGTGATCCTTAACCGTATGTTAGGAATTATCTCCATTTTTATTAAGAAGAAAACTGAGTCCCAGAGAGATTAAAGCAAATCAATGCTATATAAGCGAATCATGTCAGAGCAAGGACAAGGACGAGGGTCTTATGCATCATACAAATTGAGCAGATGCTCTGTTGAGCTAAGGCCTGGGGGAAGCATCCAAGCATAGGCAATAAGGATTTCTGCATATTAAAGGCCAGGCCAAAGCAGCTACCCCCCAAGCCATGCTGTTAGGATTCATTGTTGGGATTTGAATTTAGTCAGAAAACCTACAGGCGCTCTAAGGATCTTAAAGCTCTAGGTCCATGACCCTGTGTGACCTGGGTTTGAATATCAGCTGTGTTACTTATTACCTATATGACCTTGGGCAATCACTTTAACCTCTTTGGGTCTCAGTTTCTCCATTTGTAAAATTAGCAGGTTGGACTAGGTGATCCCTTCAAGCTCCAAATCCCATGATCCCCCAAGTCAAGACTGTGCAGGGCTCTGTGAAATTGCATCCAAGTCCCTTGGTCTGGTGGCAGCACCACCTGTACCCCCTGGGGGTGCCAGCATTTGGGCATGTTGACCATTTTCATTTCGCCCATGCTGGAAGGCCGCTAGGTAGTTGCTTGGCCGGCTCCTTTTGCCCCCACAGGCCCCATAGTAACAGAAGTGTGGGAAAAAATCCATTCAGCACCAATAGGTGTTGGGTGGGTTTGAACCAGCTCACACTGAGTGGGGCACACTGGTGTACAGGTAAGTAGCCCAGATCAAAAGCCTGGCGTCTTCCCTGAAGCATCTCACAGGGAGACTCCATCACCTTGCTGGATCAGGTTCAAGTGGCTCCCAGTGAAGCTCTGTTCAGCCCATCTGAGGGATCTGACGTAGTTCACTCACTGGCACTGGGGCCAGATCACCCCTCCTGCCCTGTGGAGCTGACCCCTCAGGTATGAGGGGGCTGTCTAAGCCAGGCAGGTTAAGGCCAGCAGGATGTCTCCAAGTGAGCTGGAAGAGGCGAGCATCTGAATGAATGAACCCTGAATCAGCAGGGTCATCAAGAGTGCTGGGAGCTGGAGTACCAGAGTTTTGATTTCAGCTTTGCCACTTAACCTGGGTGACCTTGTGCAAGTTACTTAACAACTTTGGGCCTCAGTTTCCTCATCTGTAAAAATGGGTTGGACTAGATGGACTCAAAGGTTCCACTCAGCTCAATTAGATTCTATAGATACCAGCCCCCATCATAGCACCATTTCAGGGGCTCCTCACTTTAAACAAACATCTAGGCTTATGAATAATTTGTATTGATGAAAAATGAATTATCTCTTGGCTTCAAAATTTTAATCAAATCAATTTTTTCCTGGTGATCACACTCATCCTATAGCTGAGGAAACCAAGGGCCAGAGAAAGGGCCTGACTTACCCATGGTCATACAAGTTAGTGGCAGAGCTGGGGCTCAAACCCAGGTCCCCTGACAAATTAAGAAATGAATCTGCCCCTCATGTGAAGAAGTCTTCACTGGTTCAGCTCACTGTTGAGATCCTTGAAATAATGATCTTTTGGATGCAATTCCATTTGCAAAGCTCTTTTACATGCTCTCTGCAGAAGCACAGTTGTTGCATAAAGCAAGGTCCACCTGCATTTATTTATTGAGTCTGACGCTGTGCTACCCTTCCCCATGTCCCTGCCCCCCACTTCCTGGCAGCCCACTGGCTCCTGACACACTTCCTTGGAACCCTAAGGAAGCTTTGTTGCCAATCTGTGGATGCCTGGGTCCCTAAGTTGGAAGATTTTCAGCAGATGGAGTAACCCACCCCCTCACCACGTCTCCACTCTACTCCCTGGGAGCAGGGGGGCCCTTGGTCATGGGGTGGGAAGGACCTGCTGGGAAGTTTTTCTGTCAGGTAGATCTGGGCCACATGGCAAGGGTTTCAGAATGGGGCCCAGGCCCCTGGGTTGGAGTGTCTTACGTTGAGCTCATGTAAATCATGTTGAAAATTAAAAACACATTTTTGTTTTTTTCTAAGTGAGTCTGCTTATTGATTTACATCTCTTCCGCTTGGCCCTATGGTCACAGCTGTCCATCCCCCTTCACCCCCACTACATGTTTCCTGGGGAGCATCTTTGATTCAGACTGGCCCTGGGGAGATACCCTCTGCCTAGGAAGCCTAGGACAAGGTGAACCCGGTGAGAATCCTTTGGGTCTTAGTCCCCAGTAAGCCCAGAAGTCTCAGGGGAAGCCCTGGAGAGTATCTAATGAGAGGAAAATGGACAGGATGTCTGAAGACCTGGGTTCAAGGATTAGCTCTGTTACTCACTAGCTCTGTGATCCTGGGTAAATGACATCACTTCTCTGGTTTTCAGTGTCCCTTTCCATAAAATGAGGTGACTGGATGAACCTCAAAAGTCCCTTCCAGATTTAACAGCCTCTGGCACTCAGGCATCCTGGGTCAGGCCTGAGTCAGATCTAGAACTCTGAAGAAAACTGTTAGGGTGTGTGTATGTGTGTGTGTGTGTGTGTGTGTGTGTGTGTGTGTGTGTGTGGTTACACAACTATGGTTTCTGGTGACATCACCACTGGACTGGTTTGGGGGTGTTGCTCAGCAACCAGTGACCACCGTATCAGTATCCTCAATGTCACCTAGCAACAGGACCTCAAGCCAGTCCCCAGAACTAGTCATAGGAGTAAAAGGGCCTCCTAGCCCTTCCAGCTTGATTCTCTAAAATAAACCCCAGCTACTTCTTTCCATGGGTCACTATGTCTGGAAGCTATTCTAGCACCAGACCTATAGAAAGTTAAAACTGAAAAGGATTTGGAGACTAGTCCAGCCACCCTTTTTCCAGAGAAGGAAAGTGAGGACCAGAGGGGAAGGAATTTGCCAAGGTCACCCAGTGAATCTCTCCTGATTCTCAGTCCAATCCACATTGTGCCACTCCTACTAGGAATGAAGACACAGCATCAATTAGAGGTGTCAGAGGTGTCAAAAGGTCAAGGCCCTGTCTCTCATCTCTTATGCTGTGACCACGGGCTGATTTATCACAGGGCTATACACCAGGAGTACTGGCCAATGCCCTGTGGCAGACACCAGCCTTCAGGGCTGGGGACTTTTCAAACAAAAAATCCTCATTGCTCTTAAGAGCCCAGAAATCTTTGCACCCACCATGCATTCCATTCTCAGTTTACTCCCATGAGGTGTTGGGTGACTGTTATCATGCTCATTTTACATAGGGGAAACTGAGGCCCATACAGGGATCCCACAGAACCTTAGAGGAAGAGGTGGGCCAGAACCTAAGTACTCCTGGCTCCCTATACAGAGTGCTTGCTACCAAATCCTTGGCACGAGGCAGAAGTGTGCTATGATCTCTGGAGAGAAAGAAGGTATATCCAGGGATTCTTACCTCCCCCCAACCCAAGATAGATGTATGTGTTGGGAACTTGGAAAATAATAATTGCTCACACATTTGTATGATACTTTGGAGTTTACAAAGTACTTAACACATTCTCATCTGAACCTCATAATAATCCTGTGAGGTCAGCAGGGCGGGGCATAATCCTCTCCATTTTGCAGCCCAGGAAGCAGAGGATCAGCAAATTCAAGTCACTTGCCCAAGGTTACTAAGCAGTACAGTCCAAAGTCGAATCCAGCAGGCTTCATCCCAGGATTCTCCCAGCGGCCCCGCCGAGATTAAAGAAGGCAGCTCAAGCCCTTCCCGGACCACAGCATCACAATCACCCTGGACCCTAAAAGCCACTCAGCCTCTCTGGAATTCAGCAATGGCCTGGCCTGGCCCAGCTCAGAGCCCAGTGTAATGTGCATGAGTGCTCCTAAGCCTGAGGCAGGCGGGTCTGTATCACCAAGGATTTCATCCCTCCTTCTCTGTCTTCCCTGGAGCCATGCTCCCACAGCTAATCCCTCAAGTGCTTACTGAGGTCTTGTTTAAGAAGCATAAAAGATAGTACCATAGAAATCATCTAGTCCAACCTTCTCATTTTACAACTGGAGAAACTGAGGCTCAGACTCGCCCAAGGTCACAAAGCTAGAAAGTGGCAAAGCTGGGATTCCAACCCAGGCCTTCTGTCTCACCTCAGAGCCCTTTTAGTCCAATGTATATGTGAATGAGAATGAACCTTCCACCATATACCAGATGAATGGTCATACTGCCTCTGTTGGAAACCTCCAATATAAGGAAATCCCCTCCCTACCCAAGCAGCCCCTTTCACCTTTAGATAGATCTTCTTGCTAGGAACCATGTTCTGCCATCATGCCTAAATCTGCCTCTTTGTACTATCTTTTGCTCTTGGTTCTGCCTTCTGAGGCCAAGAACAAGAAGACAGTCTTTCAAACGCTTGAAGATAGCTATCCTTTCCTACCTAAATCTTCTCTCCTTTAGACTAAACATCAACAATTCCTTCAACTTCTCTTCACATGGCATATGA